CAGGCTGCTGTTGTGGGTTATTGTTTGAGAGTCGCTGTTGGCTGCTGATTTTCTGTCGGGTCTATGTGCCCGTCCTGTGCTTTCAGCAACCCTCACCCCTTTAGTGCTTGTGTGTGTGTGTGTGTTGTTGTTGTTGTTGTTGTTGTTGTTGTTGTGCATCGTTATTCCTCTGTGGCCGTAGTTTTCAGCTGCAGCATTCGTGTTTCCTGGAGGACAAACCGTCACCCCGGTTACGTGGACGCTTTTCCTGACGTTGCATCCTCGCCGGCATGTGCGTGGCGTGTTAGTAAACTGCTCACGCTCCGAGCGACTGTAAACATTCCTGGCCCTGGCTCTGCGTCACGTCCTGCTGCATTGGAGCAAAGCGTCCGTAGAGACCCACCGCTTTCAGGGGGCTTCCCAGCCCCTTTTCTGCCGTGACCCAGGCCTGGATGAGGGGTTAAATTATGGAAGATGGATGGATGGATGGATGAACTTGCAGTCATAGCTTTGCCATAGTGGCGGTGAATCGAGACTCGTGGTGGTCATCGCCCTGCGGAGTTTCAAATCGAAACTTTGGCTCGTTACAAACATCGCACCTTCCTTCTCAATGAAGGTCCGCTTCACCCTTTGGGGGAGAAGTCATGCCTTTCCCTTCCTGTGGCACTGTGAATCCCAGACACTTTGCTCACACTGCAGATAATGTTCTCCCCCATGAATCTGCTCAAGTCTCCCTTTCCTGCCCCGGAGCCTCTGGGCACAAGCGGTGCGTGAACGTAACCTGAATGACGCCTGTTTGCTGACATCCTCGCAGCGTTACCCCTTCAACTGACCCCTTCTTCAGTAAGAAACCATGTCATCAGCATTTGGGCCTTTATTATACCAGATGTGTTTGTATATCACTGATAGGGAGAGAGTGACAGCTGGGGGTTCAGCTGCAGGCTGGTTGGACGCGTGAGAATAGCAGCTGATTTAAAAACGCCACAGCTAGCTGTGTTCTCTGTGTTTCACTGTGTTCTCTGTGTTTCACTGTGTTCTTCGCTGCGTAATACTGATGTTTCTCTTGCGCAGTGTAGGTTAGGCTGCCCTTCTGTGGCTGCTTGTTTGTTTTTCTCCATGCTGTCCGTGTGGGAATCTCCCCTCCCCCACACATCCACAAGGCTTGATGCTTAGGGGAAACTGACATCATTGGCTAGCTAGAGGAGCAGGCAGGCAGGCAGGACTGCTACACAGCAACAGAGCCATGACTTCATGTCCGCTTGCGGGCTTAGTGTTTGTTTTTGTTGAGATACTGAAAAATCTAGAGCTTTCTCTCATGTTGGGGGGGGGGGTGTAATGTGTGCTGGGTATTGTTCAGTATAATGGGATGATGTTTGGTCGCCATGGAGATCAGACAGTGTACATCCTGACGGTGGAGTATTTCTGCAAGTCAGTGAAGTTTGCAAATGGCCAATGTTTTTAAATGTAAATTGTTCATTTTATGTACATATTGTATGTAGGGGGTTAGGGTGCGTTGAACTAAATCACGTTAATGTTCTACCTGAGCTGTGTTAGCTTGCCCCTGACATGGTAAGTTATAAAGTACAGCCCCGTTTCCCAAAGTGGACAATCCTGTGCGATTGGCTGGTCATGGTCTCTTTACAGATGAAGCCCACCTCCCCACCTTCCTTTGACACCCATCTGAAGCAGCTCTGCTTATCCCTGTCCGTCCGTAGAAAGGAGCGTCCCGTGTCTTTGGCGATATTCCCCCTGCCTGGAGGAGATGCCCTCCTCACCCCCGAACTGCAGAGAGAGAGGGCGGAGACCCCCGGTACGGACACCTGGAGGTACAACGACCTCAGCCACCCGCGGTCCAACACCAGCCTCAAGGTGAGTGAGCAGCCTGCCGTTGCCTCCAGCAGAACGTCTCCCTCGTTGAGTGAGTGGCATTGACCATCTTTGAGCGTCCCTGTCTCTCAAGATTGCAGATTGTCAACATTTTCTACTTGTCAGCTTGATTCCGGAATAGTGCTGTGACATAAATGGTGGCGCTCCATCGCGCAGGCTCTGATGTCCAGTGCTGTCGGTAGATTGGGTCTGGAAAGCGAGCAGCGCTTGTGTCTGAAGTGCGGTATTGACCGAAAAAACGGCTCTTTATATTTGTCTGCCGCCTTTTTTCTGTGGGCTAATTTGCTCGTTGGGAACGAGCCATCCTGGCACTGCTGCCTTCCTCGCTCCAGTTCATTGTGGCCGTTGTACCCCAGATCAGGCCACTTCCTGGGGGAGGAGCCAGCTTTTGGGGCCCTGGGATAGACCCCCTCTCCCCACGTCCTCAGCACGGCCCACGATCGGCCTGCCTCTCAGGCCCTCATGAATATTCAGTGTTCATGAATATTACATTCACGTTTGTATGAATTTGTTGATGGATAAGTAATGCAGTGAGCCTGTCCAGCCGTATCCATAGCTGTTCATTTTCCCCCAGTCTTCTGGTGGTCTGCCTTGAGCCTGCAGTATCCGGGATAGACCCCGGACCTCCTGCGACCCTGAATGGGAGAGGCGGTTTCAGAAAATGGGTACTAGATCTTTTGGGGGGGCTTTTCATCCCCCTGCCAGAAACTGGCGATCGACCAGCCCCAGAGGGGGCCCCTAGCAGACGCTTGTTCAGAGCATTCTGGGATTTGGGCTCCATCCCAGAGCAGTCCTGAAGTCGAACCCCAAGAGGACTCTGATGGCTCTGAATCAGTCTGTAACTGGAGTCGTTTATCGACGTGCGGCTGACCTTGAAATGCCCTCCTTCTCCTGGGCACCTCCCCCCCCAACCCGGGCATCATCCGCATCGCGAGGAGTGCGTTACGCTCTCGGATGCTGCAGAGAGCTGCAGCGGCATGTTGGCGGGTGAGGCCGCTGCTCGGGTGGCCATGCTGCAGTGGAGTGCAGTGGTGTGTCAGCGGGTGAGGCCGCTGCTTGGGTGGCCATGCGGCAGTGCAGTGCAGTGGCTTGTCAGCAGGTGAGGCCGCTGCTCGGGTGGCCATGCTGCAGTGGAGTGCAGTGGCGTGTCCGTGGGTGAGGCCGCTGCTCGGGTGGCCATGCGGCAGTGGAGTGCAGTGGCGTGTCGGCGGGTGAGGCCGCTGCTCGGGTGGCCATGCGGCAGTGGAGTGCAGTGGCGTGTCGGCGGGTGAGGCCGCTGTTCGGGTGGCCATGCGGCAGTGGAGTGCAGTGGCGTGTCGGCAGGTGAGGCCGCTGCTCAGGTGGCCATGCTGCAGTGCAGTGCAGTGCAGGGGCCATGGGCGTCCGGCTCCCGCCGTGCTCTCTGGCCATTATGGGACTTCATTGTGTTGCCATACTCCATGTTTGATTGACAGGCAAGTTCAGCAGTTATTTAGCAGCAGTTCAAACTTTACATTGACAAAAACAGTATTGGCTGCTGGTTTAGCTAAGATGTTATGTTGTGCTGTTAGCCCGTGGATGCCTGTAGTACAATGGCGGCACTATAAGACGTCTGTGTGTTCTGGCCGCCGCTCTGTGCCTCTGAACGCAGCATTCCTTAAGTGAGCCTGGGTCTGCTGCACAAAGGCGCGTCTCCGTTCCCATGATCCCGCTGGTCGCGGCCGGCTGTTACCGCTCACCCACGCCGGAACACTGCCCCTTGTGTACCTCCCTCTCTGCAGTGTGTAGATTGACAGGCATTCAGATACAGAGTGTTTAGTGTGCAAATACCCAACCCGTGTGTGCAGATATATAAATAAACATGCACACCCAGTCTTTGTGAACAGTATGTTACCCAAGTTATTGATATCACAATGACAGTCTAGTCACTCATAACTCTCATCAGCAGTATTTAAGAAATGAATTGCTTGTTTGAATAATATAATTTAGCAATAAGCCTGCCAATGACGCTGTTACTGTTGTCAGGTTGGGCTCCTATGTCTCAGTAGAAGAGCTTTTGGAGCTGAATGGTAGCTTGGCAGCGCCATGGCAACCGGAGACGGCCATGATGCCATTTAGCTAACAGCAGGAGGGGGAGGAGATGATCCCATAGGATGTGGCTGGGGAGGAGAGTAATTGCTGACTGTAATTAATCGTGTTTTAATATTTTTATTATCTGTCATTGCAGTAAGTTCTGGTTTGTTTATGTAGTTTTGCTGGTTTCGATTGCTTTGCTGGTCAGTTCTAAGCAATTAGTGCAATTTCCAGTTTACAGTCATATTGTGAAGCTGCAATGTAATAGTGGTAAAGGGGCACAGAGAGAGTTTATATGCTGTGTGCCTTAAGAAGAGTGTCACTGTGTGGTACGTCTAAAAGGAGTGTTTCTGAAGTTTTTCTTATTAAATGTACATTTCCTGTGATGTGTACAAGCATTAATGGATGGTATGATGTGTGTCTTCATTGTTACATCCAAATTTCACCCTGAAAATGTTTGTTTTACAATTCTAAGAAGAAGGGGTTAGGGAACTGATTCAGAAAATATTCTTTTCTATTAAATTTTTTTCAATCGTGTATTTTTTTGGAATATGTTGTGTTCTTTCATTTGTCATTGAGTCCATAACCCAGAATATTTAGGTGTCACAGCCCCAAGGTTTGGCATTGTTTGGATGGACGATGTGCCACTGAGCCTCACAGAGACTTGTGTATTCTTCTCCTGCATTTTCTTGCTTATCCATGCAGAAGAACCCATGAAAATGGCGTGTTGCTTAAACATGCCTGTCGTTGCTTTGGCAGCGAGGTGAAGCTGTGGTTCCTCTGTATGGTGAAGCAGTGCTTCTGTTTGGAGCTGCTGATACCTGTCCTGGGGGAGCAGGGTGCCGCGTGCTGCATTAGCGCTGCTCTGAACGTGCACTTCACTGTAATTCTCTTCCCCAAGCAGTTGGAGGCAGAAGATTCTCTAAGGAAAAGGGAGGGTAAGAGTTCACTGGAGACTTGGGGGAATTCACTGGCTGACAACTGCAAGGTAGTTGGTCCCGTAGCTGCAGGAGTGACGATTTCGCATTCTGGCAGTAGTGGTCCGATTCGATTGTTGTTTGGCCTGTAGCTGTGTGTTGCTGTATCGTCTTCCGATAGCTGTATTTCCTTGTGCATCCAAACCCCTCCATTTTGGTTTCTACACTGCTGCATGCAACCACTTAAGCCGCAGAGACTTGAAGCGTTTTGTGTTGGATCACAAACTCCAGTGTCATTTTAAATTGACCAATTAACATTGCAAAAACACACTTTAAGGAAAACTTTAAATATGCTGATATCACATTAAGAGAATTTGAACTTTCTGGTTGCATGCAGAAGGTTGATTTTGGTTCCATTGCATGGATTCACTCACGTTGTGTCATAGAGCTTCTCACTCTCAGTGTGTCACTTGGTAGACAGCATCTTGCAGCCACTAATCCTCACCTAGGTGGCCACAAATCAGTAGCTGTAGCTGGTTTGGTTTTGATTTGTGCTTCGTAGTAATTTCTACCTTCCTTTTTTGTACCGCTGAAGTGCTTTGTGGGTCAAAAGTGTGTTTCTTTTTCAGTGCGAGAAAGACAAACACAGCGGTACCTGAGTGTATTTTGTCTTGTGCTCTGCGTTGGTGTGTCTGTGTGTGTGTTCTCCCTCTGTGGTGCCGTTCTCGTGTGTCCAGTCTCGGAGATCACGTGCCGCTTTGGGTACGTGGTCGCGGTCCGTCCCGTGTGGCCTTGCCTCCGTATCCCTCGCTCCATCGCTCAAAGCCAAGCCGATGGACGCGCTGGACCGATCACGCCTGTCAATAGCACAAGAAAAACCTGCTGGCAGAAGTTTGAACTTGATAGTCATTTATGATTAAGCTTTGGATTACTGCACGATTTAAATGATAAACTTTAACGAAATGTTGTGGGGTTACGCTTTAGCCCTACAATTTGATAATTCGATTTAAGTTTCTTTTACATTGAGCGAGCATATTTTTTGTGTAAAATGACCATAAATTTGGAACATGCTACTAGTGCATGACCAATACACAGTGCAGAGGCTCTGGTTTGCGGCCCCCAGATACTCTGACTGTCTGTAATCAGTGGAGTCGTGTGGTATCCAAACTTAATCTGGTTAGAATGAAAAGTGCCACATCAGGACCTGTTCTTGGGTGTCTTGTGGCCGTGCTGTGCTTCAGCTCAGCTCGTCCATATGTCATGTGACCCTGTTATGGTTGTGTGGGGATGTCTTCACAGGATGAGCTGTCTGACGTCAGCCAAGGAGTCTCCAAGTCGGCCACCCCCGCGTCCACGGCAGCCTCGGACGTGGCCATGGCCGCTGTGGACGCGCCCCAGAAAGAGGAGGCAGAGGGGCTGAGCAAGAACCTGAACACCAGGAGCAGGAAGCCAGACAGCAGTAAGAACATTGACGTTCAGGCCGCCCCAGGGACCAATTCTGTCTCCATAGGTGAGCGATAGGCGAGGGGAGTGCCGGGTGACAGGGGCCCTGCCAGCAACCCCCCCCCTGGTCGCTCTGCTGCTTCTCATCATCACCATATGTGGGATGAACGTGAAGATCAGGCCTCTTTTTAAGCTGGGCTCTTCGGCCACATAAAGGGGGAGATCATGTAGTATTTACAGATGTAGTCCTTCAGTGGTTATGATCTTTAATGAAAGTTTAATATGCTTGGAAGATTCTGCCCCCCCCAGAGTGAACACAGGAATATTTCAGATGGAACGAGTTTTCTACCTGGTGATGAACATTTTAAAGCAGGTGATGTTGCAGCTGTTCTTGTGTGTATCCTTCTCTCCAGGTTTAAGTGACAATGAGGAGAAGTCGGAGGTCCAAGCTATCATCGAGTCGACCCCAGAGCTTGACATGGACCTCGGCAGCTACAAGGCGGCCAGGTATACTGGGTATACTGGTGCCTCCCATCTGCCATGGGCTTTCTCACTGGATGGTTATCTTAGCTATAGTTTGAAGTCTCCATTTCCTGCAGGCATTTTATTTTTGTTCTAGATTTTGTTTTAACTGAAGTTCTCTTTTGAATGAAATCTTTCTTGTTTTATGTGTTTCCAGTACTCCTGTCAAGGGTGTGGAGAACATGGCATTCGATCGCAATACCGAGTCGCTCTTTGAGGAGCTCTCTTCTGCCGGCACGGACCTTATTGGAGACGTAGATGAGGGGGCTGACCTGCTGGGTAAGATGTTTTGATGGCGGTCATGTTCATCTCTGATTGTATTTACGACAGGAAAACAAGACCTGAGAAGCCACATGTGAATTTAAAGGGATGCCAGTAGGAATCACATAAGGTTTTAACAGCACGTTAAACCGCAGTGCAGTGAGATTTTAGGTGGAGGACTATGATGGATTGTGGTTTGCACAGTAAGTTACTAATTATGCTGGAGAGCAAACTGGATTAGCTGCTGTTAAAGTTCTGTATGGTGGGGCCCCATGCAGAGACTGTGGTGTGTCCTATGTCATCTGTTTCTGTCTCCTCACTCTTCTCTCCCTGTATTAAACACACTGCGCCCTGTTTGTCCTCTCTGCATGTGAATGTGCTAGAAACCCAGCCTGCTTTTAGGCTGAGGGCTCCAAGCACGCAGGCCTCCTAGATTTAACGAGGGCGAGAGTGCTGGCTGTAGGACGGCCTGCCCCCACACGCGGACCGGCCTGCCCCCACACGCGGACCGGCCCTCGCTGGGGGTTGTCCTCATGCATACGTTGCCAGTGACACTAACCAGGCTTTCTCTCTCCATGCTGTCTCCTGTCTCTGCTCTTGTTCCTTCTCCCAGTGGAATATTCTGGTGTGTATGACTTCACTCGTCTTCGCTTAACTCCCGTCATCCATAGTCTCCCAAAACTCACTTTTATTTGCTTTTACTTTTATTTTGTGTCCTTGTCCACTTGTTCCTGTCACTCTCTGCAAGTTGGCCTATCATTCAGCTGAACTTTAACTATTACTAAGTTGGCCTCATTCTGGCTATCGAGCGGCATTTAAAATAACCCCAGGGTACGATGCTTTTGGGTCATCGGTTAATAATTACATGGTATGATTGTGTTGAGACGGCCCTTGCAGTGAAGGAAGGCTTTGGCAGTGTTGGCCGTACGATGAACTGATGAAGTTCACTGGACGAGGTACAGTGTTACGGAGTGGGCGCATTTGACCGAGAGGAACGTTTTTTTAATGAATTTCTGAAGGGTGTCTTACTTCGGACTGCTGACCACCGCACAGGCATAACGTGTAGCATGCCCATGGTGGTCTTAACCGTTCTGTTCTTACGTACATCTCCAGTGAATATACTTTTCTTCGCAAGTTTAAACTGTGGTCTTGAATCACTCTTGCATGAACTAAGACAAAATGAATCCTTCCACTCGGCCTGTCAGAGTGTCATTGTGTCCTCTGATGTCTGTCCTCTCCTGTCGCTGAAGGTCGGACAGACTGACTCCTCGTCTTCCAGGTTCCAGCCAACTCCTAGGCCATCGCTTTAGTGTCCTTGTCTTTTCACAACTCCGCGTGCTTCTGTTTTTCTGCTTTACATGCATTGCACGGGTTATTCTGGCCTTAATTTCTTTAGTAAGAGACCTGCTCATCTGCGTTCATCCCTGCTTGCCGTTGCTTATGTGTTTTTGACTCTGGTTGCTTGCCTGGGATTCTTGGATTTATATATATATATATATATATATATATATGGTAAGCCAGCTTTGGGAAGGGCAGAGGTTTGATTGTGACATCTTCGGGCATTGTTCTATTACTTGATAAGATTGGTAGCCTTCCTCTTTTATTTACCTATTTACGTATTAATTTCTTATTTTTAAAGGTATGGGCCGTGAAGTCGAGCACCTTATTCAGGAGAACACACAGCTTTTGGAAACAAAGTAAGGATTGTGTGTTGAAGAGTTAAACCCTAACATTTGTTAAGTTTTATTGCTGATGGTAAATTATTCCAGATCTGAGGTCCTTAATACTTCATTATTAAGCTTATTACCTGCCTGTGTTGTGAAATAATTTGTTGAAGTGCTTGGTCTTTCTCAGACTTGAAAATGAATCATAACACATTATATTTCCTTGCAAAATTAATATGTTTGAAATTGCTGCATGAAATGTATAAGTAGGATTTGTCAAGAATTAATTGAAGAGGCTTGCATGAACACATGGTAAAATATTCAAATTAGCCTGAAGAGAGAGTGTAGCTCTCTGGTGAATGTGTTATTTCCATGGGAGAGAGGGGGGATCTCTGCTGTAATGTGAATACATACATGCTCTATAATCAATGCATGAAGCAGTAAATCACTGTCACTGACCTCCTGAGGCATTTCAGACGGCATAGGGTCCCAGTTTCCATCCCCGACGGCTTTTCGGCCCGCTCCCCGCACAGGAACGCCCTGAACGTGGTGAAGAATGACCTCATCGCCAAGGTGGACGAGCTGTCCTGTGAGAGGGAGGTGCTGCAGTGCGAGCTGGAGGCTGTGAAGCAGGCCAAGAGCAAGCTGGAGGAGAAGAACAAAGAGTTGGAGGAGGAGCTCAGGAAGTGAGTGTCCCGCAGGAAGTGGCCCGTCCGCCCCTACCTCCTCGTCCGCCCCTACCTCCTCGTCCGCCCTACCTCCCCGTCCGCCCCTACCTCCCCGTCCGCCCCTACCTCCTCGTCCGCCCTACCTCCTCATCCGCCCCTACCTCTGTGCCAGCAGTCCTGCTGCTGGGGGTGCGAGAGACGGTACCAGTGGGCAGCGTTGTCCCTGCAGTAGTAGTGCGGCTTAAGCAAGTTCTCTTTACGTCGAACTTGATATATTACGAATTATTATACACTAGTGACCAAAATTGTGGAAACACTTCCAAGTTGTAGAAATTGCAGAACTTTATTCAACTATTACTCCAATTATTTTTTTAATTGTCCAGTCTATATTTGTAACATTCTTTGTTTATAAACATTACCGTCAATATTTGTATAGTAATTTTTAAAGCATGATGCCAAAAATGCTTGGTGTTTCCACAATTTTGGCCACTAGTGTATACTGTATGTCAAACCATGTTAGTAGCATGCAAGTGAAAAGGGCTTTTTTGGGGTGGGGTGGGGGGGGTGGTTTCACAGGCTTTGTAAGTGCTGTGCCAAGCATATTCTTATGTCCTTGACCTTGTCCCATGAGTAGCATAACTGATAATTAACACAACCATTTATTTAATCAATGTCAAAATACAGTGTTTATCTTCTCATGTCAGGACCGAAATTAAATCAAGAATAGTGTCTTAAAGCATTCTAGGGAGGCTGAATGTGAAGCTTACAAGCAGAAACATGTAAAGGGACGTTCAAAGCATGCGAGGTTGTAAATTTAGCGAAAGACAACAGCCGATTCCGGGTTCCCCATCAGGCCGTAAGAGAATATGAAGCTGCAAAGACGACAGCGGCTATTTGCTGTAGTGTCTTTCGGAGATGATATGCCACTGGATCTCACACACACATGCACACACACACTGCCTGTCAGACTTTCCAGTGTGTACAGCACCCTCTGCCAGCTGTTGATAATATACACCTCCCATTTATTTGCATTTAAATGTACCTCTGTGACAATATATAGTTATATATAGTTACTTGAACTGGGGTATTTTTGTCACTATCAGTCACTAGTATCTCTCTCCTTTTTTATTTTATTTTATATATTTAATTGGCTCTTGTGGGCTGAGTTAACATGACAGTGATCCAGTTCCATTGGCATTGAGTGAAACGCTTCCATCTTTCCCGACAGGGTACGGGCAGAGGTGGAGGAGGCCAAGCAGAAGACAAAGGAGGAGGATGATGTGAGTAATCTTCCTCTGTGGGGTGTTTCTCAATACCAAGAGCGTAAAGATCGTACTTGTGTTCTTGGCAAGACCGGTCTTGCTAGCTTGCCTCCCAAGAACAAACTTGGGGCATAATGAATCATGGCATTGGTCTCATTCAGCGAGATATTTGGGGTGGAGCAAGACCAACATCTGGGGATTTTTACCATCCTCTGTATTTTTGTTCTTGATTTTTGAAACCAATCTTCTGCAATGGAATATGACATAAAATAGGTAAAAGAGAACACAAATCTGGTCAAGTACGCACATTGTGAAACACCCCTGGTCTCTCTCCAGGGTGGGATTGGATGGTAAACTGTAGGTATGTAACGATACACTCAACTCATGATTCGAAACGATTCACGATTGAGTTCATGATACGATTTTTTAGCAGAATGAGCTGTAGACAAATTTAGTCAAAAATATTCCTTTATCTTTCTAAACTGTGCAAAATGTGTCCTTTCTTAACAGTGCAACTGAAAATGAATAAAATACTGTTTAAAAAAATCCCAAATCAAAATAAGTAAATTAAAAAATAATCTTAAATCTTAATCATAAATAAACTAAGGCGTGCATGTGCAGCTTTTTAGCGTGGTTTGCCCTTTTAATAATCTCCGCTCTGGCGCTGGTGAATTGAGCTCACTGTGGTGCCGGTGGGCATACTGAAGCATCTCCGTTGTGCTATTTGTGTTTATCAGTCTTTTACAATGTTTGCACGCAGTTTTTGTCTTGTCTGTGCTTTTCGCGCTGTTTTCGTTTGCAGGACCTTGCTGTGAATCAGCAGCATTAACCACTGCGCCGCCCGGTGGTGCATCCTCCGTTTCAAATTCGCTTGCCATCTTACGTTCGGTCAAAACCAAAAACCGATGTATGACGTCGACGTGAAAACGCAGTGACGTCGTGAAATCAAATGTAATATTACACCGGTTTTTCTGTTAAAGTACAGTGAAGTACTCCTAAAGTAGCGATTCATTTTCCACATCAGCCGCTTTAAATCGTCATACATTTATACCGATTTTTAACCGATTCGCGATTCATCGTTATATGCTTAGCAAACTGTGACAAGACTCAAGAGTTCTTTTAATGTCAACTCACGAATGTACAATTACAGTGTGCTGAAATACCGCTTCATTTGGATCCCTTTGATGCTAGACATAAATACAAATGTGCAGTGTAGCACAAATAAATGATAAGATGTGCAAATGTAATAAACCGCCAAATAGCGGCGTCATTGGAGGTTAGCTGGCCGATTGCCTGTGTCAGTATTGGGAACTATAAATATTTATATCCCTTTAATCATTTGTAGTATGTATCTCAACCTGAGCAGGTGATCCTCATCATTTGGTTTGGACTGGACTGGAATGCGATCTGGGTGGGAAATGTGCCATGTTTGTGTTGTATACAAACACAACGGAGTAGCGATATTGGTGTGAAGCACAGTAATGGGAGGACAGTAATCTCACGTTCTGTTGGGATATGATGATTGATTTGTGATGTTTGTTCCCCCTCCCCTCTGCAGAGTGACATACCCACAGCGCAGAGGAAACGCTTCACGCGTGTGGAGATGGCCCGGGTGCTGATGGAGCGAAACCAGTACAAGGAGAGACTCATGGAGCTGCAGGAAGCCGTCAGATGGACTGAGATGATCCGGTAAATAAGGGAAAAGCAGGACCGATATTACTTTTGACACCCTGGATGGATTCTTTTCTAGTTTTTTTTTTTTTTTTTTTTTTTTTTTCCCCCCCCCATAAATCCATACTATTTCTGCTACCCCCTTAAAGAAACGTTTTGGTCCCATGTTTTAATGCATGCTAATTTATCACTTATCCTGTCGATATTAACTGTCGCCCCAGAGTTTATGTGCTGGGGTAGTAATACTGTGATTGCATTTCTTCTTTATTGTGGTTTTCCTGCTCAGAGCTTCGAGGGAGAACCCGGCACTTTCCGAGAAGAAGAAGTCCAGTATCTGGCAGTTGTAAGCGCACCCCCACGGCTCGCATGAATCACACATCATGATGGGGAATTCTTGGTGCTCTGCTGGTCATTCAGTGTCTTCCCTTTCCTTTTGTTTTTATTTTGCTTTTTGTTTTCCGATTCGTGGTCTCCAGGATGTAGGTAAAGCTTTAGAATGAAGCCGATGCTTTTCTTGCACTTGATCCCAATCAGATCATGGAGTACCGTCAAAGGGAATGACCTGTATCCTCCGTCTTTTCATGACATAGTGCTGGATGATGTCGTCATGGCCCAGTCTGGGCTGAGATTAATTACAATCCATACTGACTCCCACTAGCTATTATACTCTTAGAAATGAAATCAGCACCCAGGATGTGCCAGTTATTCCACGGGTTAATGCTTAAAGCCTCTGTTGCTTTTCCGGCTTTAATATGCATACCATGGACTCCCTGCATTAAGGCCAATCCCTTTGTGCAGTATTCCTGGCCAGACTTGCAGGAATGATTATGGTGTGGTTTACTTACTGCATTTTGCACCTATTGTTAAATATGCATTTTGCTCTCCTACTCCTCACTCTCCTGTCTCCTGCTTATATCCTATATCCTGCCTCTTGTTGTCCTGTCCGTTTGCAGAAGGTGTGTAGCACAAGGCTACTATGCCAGTCAGGCACACTAGGTGTCCTTTCAACAGTAGTGATTTAGTGCTGATCTAAGCTTGTAACAGTGAGGATTTTCTTGTCTCTTCAGAAGAACCTGGTTTTGAATATTCATCCATTTTTCCTGAAATAGAGATTTCATTGAAATTGGTAATAAGTTTTCCTGTTTGGGGCAGAACTAATTTCTTATTCGAGCTTGAACATGAAATTAGAAACACGTATGTTTTCATAAAAAAGCTAAAGAGCTTGGGGAAGCGTGTTTGATGTCAGAGGCACTTTCAACAACATAGATTTTAAAGACTGCAAGGTGCTATACATTTGCCTTTTGGATGCAGGTCATAGGTGGTCATGTGATGGTTTCTTTCTTAGTGTTTGATGATGGCTTGGCAGACATAGTTGGTGTGGTTGACTTGTCATTGGCTTGGGATGATGACGTTGGCATTAGCATTAGCAAATGATTAGCACAGAAGCTAATGCTCTTGGCCTGTCTGCTTTGCCGCATACTAGCACATTGCTAAAGAGTGGCTGACATTTTCCTTTGGGGAAATCTCTCCCAGAGCTGCAGAAGCTGTTTGCTGGAGGGGGTTTGCTTTTAATTTACTCTGTTGCCTTGATTCTCACTTTTCCTCCCTCAAAGTTTAGGGCTTTAACCTGCTAGTTAACAGAATAACAGAAGGGTTACTGGTGTGAGGGTGTTGAGCATCCAGGCTTGCTGGTGGCGGAGGTCAGGCTCTGTGTTTCTGTGCACCTACATGTACATGTATGTGTCCGTGTGCTGGTCCCCCCGTCCCGTGTCTGCACCTCTATTAGCCTTTCTGTCTCGTCTCTTCGCCCCCTTAGTTTCAGCCGGCTCTTTAGCTCGTCCAGCACCGCCGCCCGGAAGCCCGAGTCTCCGGTCAATGTCAAGTACAACGCACCCACGTCGCACATCGTGCCCTCGGTGAAAGCCCGCAGCAGCACCCTGTCGCAGCTGCCCAGTGACAAGTCCAAGGCCTTCGACTTCCTCAAGGAGGAGTGAGTGTCACGGGGATGGCCAAGTGTCGCAGTGGAGGCCCCGGGTTGTGGGGAAGCCCCGGCTGCATCGTGACCTGTTGCCATTCCCTCTTCCCTCAGAGCGGACCTGAGTAGCTCGCCATTACGGAAGGAGCAGATGCGAGCTCAGTACAGGCAGGTGAAAGCTCATGTGCAGAAGGAAGATGGCCGGGTGCAGGCGTACGGGTGGAGCCTGCCGCCAAAATACAAGGTCAGGACGCTCAGGGCAATTATGCCTGTACTCCAGCACGGCCGCTTGTCCTCTCCATTGTCCTCTCGCCATTGTCCTCTCGCCATTGTCCTCTCGCCATTGTCCTCTCGCCATTGTCCTTTCCATTGACATCACCACTGCAAAAATATCTTTTATTGTTCTCCCAAAACTTACCTTAGGTAACCAATGGAGGACAGGCAGAAAACAAGATGAAGAACTTGCCTGTGCCCGTGTACCTAAGGCCATTGGATGAGAAGGATGCTTCTATGAAGGTATGGGCTGTGTGAGCTGTGAACCACAACCTGGAACATTTTCCTCTGCCTGTTCATGGCCACTAAGCCTTCTGATCCATCCCTTACAACCCGGCTGTGGATGTTGGAGAGCCAGACCTGAACCTGGCCTTCTGCTGCATTTCCCTCCCTAGCTCTGGTGCGCTGCTGGCGTCAACCTGACCGGTGGGAAGACCCGTGATGGGGGCTCCATCGTGGGGGCCAGCGTCTTCTACAACGACGTGCCCGGAGCCGACAGCGAGGGCCACAAGAAGGGCTCACAGAGCAGTTTGGACCGCCTGGAACAGGAGCTCAAGGTGAGCTGCCTCCCAGAATGCATTGCGGCACCATGGAGTCCATCCCGTTACCTGTATTGACTCTTGATGCTTAATGAAACACAAGTATAACCAATATAGATTTATTTGTGGCTTATGCCAAACATCTTTTGAGTAAAATGGGTAAAGACTTTGTGACTAAACGTTGTAGGATCAATGTACCAGGTGGGTCTGCTCTTGTTCCCTTGAGCTTCAGCTGGGTAATGAGCTGATGTGCTGCCGTGTGATTGGCGGACAGGAGCAGGAGAAGGAGCTCCGGCAGCATGAGGAGCTCTCCAGCCTCGTGTGGATCTGCACCAGCACGCACTCCACCACCAAAGTCATGGTGGTGGACGCCAACCAGCCCGGTCACATCCTGGAGAACTTCTTTGTCTGTAACTCCCACGTACTTTGCATCGCCAGCGTGCCAGGTCTGGTTGCCGTCGAGGTACCTCCCGGTATGACTGTGCCTCAGATCGACTGGTATGAGCTATTTATGACTGTTACCGGAACATTTCGTGGTTTGGCTCAGGTGCCCGAGAGACGGACTACCCTGCAGGGGAGGAGGTACCGCAGGAGCCCGAGGCAGCCCAGAACGAGAACGCCTCCCTGACGGGCAGCATGGCCAGCAACAGCTCAGCGGGCAGCGACAGCATGCTGGGAGGCATTACCGTGGTGGGCTGTTCTGCGGAGGGGTCCGCCGCCATTCCGCAGACCGCCTGCAGCTCTGTGGGGACCCCCGAGGAGCCCAGCACACGTGTCGACTCCGGTAACCAGGCTTACATGGTCTAACATCCTGCTCCCTGGGCTAATAATGATGACGGTAGAGCTTTGGCACTTTCTGGTAACTCTGAGCGTGCTTCGCTCATAAGGGGAGCTCTCATGTGCATCTCCCCGGCAGGAGAGGCTTCGCCCTCAGAAGGCACCGCCGAGGACTCGATCGCCACGGCAGAGGAGGCTGCCGAGGAAGCGACAGAGGCCACAGAGGCTGGCCCCGGGACTGGGGACGAGGGCGAAGGCCTGGACATCAGCCAGCCATGCATCTACACGGAGCACGTGTTCACTGACCCGCTGGGTGTGCAGGACACCTCGGAAAGCCAGGCCTCATATCCACAGAGGTAACGCAAGCTTAGCTCCACCTGCTGGACAAAAGGGGGACCACCAGCATTGTTTTTTGATGTTTTTATGCCTTTCTGGGGTCAGTCTTGCATGTTAAATGCATTTCAATAAGTATACATAATTTTTACACAATACATATATTATTTATGCATTCATTCAATCATATGTTTAGACATTTGTAGCTAATGTCACCAAATCAGATAATATAGAAACTAAAAAAAAAAAAACACCTTTCTACAGTACTGTGCGAAAGTCTTAGGCAGTAATCAGAAATGTTTAAAGCTGTTTATCTAGGTAGTAAGTGTACATTTGCTCAGAACAAAAAACACAGTTTATCATCGGAGCATATGGAAATTAAGAGTAATACAACAGAAACTAGTAAAACATTTCTTCTGTTCTCCAGAAAGTTACTGATGTCCAGTTGGATAGTAAAATGAACTCGGCTTCATTTCCCAGACGCCTCCTCTGCGGCGCCCCAGCCGCTCCATGTGTTTGATACATTTCACAACCAGCTCACATAATTAATTTAACTAGTCAAAAACGTCAATGAGATTGATTAGCTATACGAGGTGTGAGTTAAAAAAATGAATTGGTGTGTTTGACAGTTACTGTAACTACTGGGGTGATTTTAGCAGAGGTTTTGAAACGGCTAAACTGGCGCTTAGGGGACGGCATCATTATATGGCGACACATTTCCTTTGACTGCCTAAGACTTTTGCACAAGACTGTACGATACAATTAGTCTAGCGCAGGATTTTCACCTTTCGGTTATGGTTTTAATTAAGCCTGACGCAGGATATACCTCTCAGTGCTGACATTACTCTCCCTACATTAATACATAAATGGCCCGTTTTGCATATTTGAGCACGCAGTGGCCAGCAGGTGGCGCCATGTTTTAGGGCCGATGCCCGGCAGTGGCCAGCAGGTGGCGCCATGTTTTAGGGCCGATGCCCGGCAGTTTGCGGACACCAGTCCCTGAATTACAGTAGCAAGGTTCTGTGGCGGATCTGCCCTCAGGGATTCTGACCTTCTGAAGGACGGGGTGGCCACCTTGCCGGACGAGCAGGACCTGATGCGGGAGGAGGCTCAGAAGATGAGCAGCGTGCTGCCGACCATGTGGCTGGGAGCCCAGAACGGCTGGTGAGGCGGCCTGCATCCTGGCCTGCATCCTGGCCTGTGGCTCCTGCCAGCCGCTGCCGTGTTACCCTGAGATATCCTCACCCTGAAAAGATTATATGGGAAGTGCGATATAGACAGTGCTCAGTGTAAACCAAACTTCGGTAATACTAAATATATCGGCAATCTGTATCTGAGGCCTAGTCATAACCTACTGACTTTTTGGCAGCAATGAATCGAATTCCCGCCGTTTTGTTTCACTGTAGTCTGAAAGCACATTTAAGTCTGTAGCTTGTGCAGGCGACTAAGTGCCGCTGCCCCTTGTTCCGCGCTGTACGTTATACAGTGTAAGGTGCTGGGTAGCGGCTCCGGGCTGTGGATGTGAGGTGGGGGGCATAAGGTGCATTGTGACGATGAGGCGTTTCCTTCCCCCCCAGTGTCTACGTTCACTCGTCTGTGGCTCAGTGGAGAAAATGTCTCCATTCGATCAAGCTGAAGGACTCCATCCTTGGCATTGTGTGAGTATGGAACTTTCCAGGATTTGAGCTCATTTTAATACCATGGTCCCCCCTTATCTGCGGGGGATATATTTCAAGACCCCCAGCGAATGTGTGAAATCACGGATGGTACCGATCCTGATATATGCTATATTCCCCCTTTACATTCATACCTGTGATTAAGTTTAATTTATAAATTAGACTCAATAAGAGATTAGAAAGTAAAATTTAATTGTTAAAAAAATGGTTACTTGACCACAAGTGCTGCCATGCCGTGACAGTCGATCTGATAACCAAGATGGCTACCGAATGACTAATGGACCAGAAATCTGTCGTTTCTTGAATTTTCCATTCAATATTTTCGGACTGCATTTGACCGTGGGCAAGTGAAACCACAGGAAACAAAACTGCAGATAAGGGGGTACTACTGTACCCACTGTAACCACTGAACCCACTGTACCCACTGAACCCACTGAACCTACTGTAACCACTGAACCCACTGTACCCACTGTAACCACTGTACCTGCTGTACCCACTGAATCTACTGTACCCACTGTACCCACTGGTGAATAGTGAGGGGTTGTGGGGTTTAGCTTGAATCTCCTCTGGAAAGCGGGCTTGTGTCATGTCCCCGGAGCGTATCGGACTGGCAGGTTGAATCCCCGCTGAGTTTGGCGGTTCCGACGCGTCCGTCTGCTTGTCGTCGTCCTGACCTTTGTCTGTCTCTCCCACCTGGCAGCCACGTGAAGGGCAGAGTGCTGGTGGCCCTGGCTGACGGCACGCTGGCCATCTTCCACCGAGGCGTCGGTAACCTCCCCCGTCCGTGCAGTAACCGCTGGTAACGGTCCCCCGGCGCTTCGCCTCCTTTACCCTGCACGCCCTGTCCCCCCCCCACAGACGGTCAGTGGGACCTGACCAACTACCACCTGCTGGACCTGGGCCGGCCCCACCACTCCATCCGCTGCATGACGGTGGTGCACGACAAGGTGTGGTGTGGCTACAGGAACAAGATCTACGTGGTGCAGCCCAAAGCCATGAAGATCGAGGTGAGGCCGGGCGCTGGGGGCGGTGGGGGGGGGGTTTGTTCCAGGTTTCTCTTATGCTCATTATGCCTCTTAAAGATTCAGGGGCAGGATAAATGTTTTAATGAGAAACAGTTGGGTTGTTGATTTTTAAAAAAAAAAAAAATTTGGGACCCCCTCCCCCCCTCCCGCAGAAGTCTTTTGACGCCCACCCCCGGAAGGAGAGCCAAGTACGTCAGCTGGCCTGGGTGGGGGACGGCATCTGGGTGTCGATCCGGCTGGACTCCACGCTACGCCTCTTCCACGCCCACACCTACCAGCACCTGCAGGACGTCGACATTGAGCCCTACGTCAGCAAGATGCTCGGTAGGGGGTGCCGTGTGCCCGCCGTGTGCCCGCGGTGTGTCCTTTAGTCCAGTAATTGCATGATTTATTAGCATAATCGGCAAATAAAGAAACCAGCCAGGTAAAGGGCAGAAACGATCTTCTGATGCCAGAGATGACTGTGAATATATCTGACAGTCTCATGAATTAGAGGATGACCTCAAGTGACCTTCAAAAGGAATGGGAAACATTAAGCGCTGGTGTGAAGCGCACTGCTAGGACATTTCATTATAGGCTCCTAGAAGCAGGATGAAGACCCATAAAGCAAGGAAGAAGCCCATCATTAATGGGAAACAGAGAAGATCCAGGCTGCAGTTTGCAAAAAAAATTACACAATGTAGACATCCTTTCAAAATGCGTTTAACCCATTTCAGAGCTGGTTTAAACGTAAGATCAAGGGCAGCCCAGTGCATATTTTTAATTCATCCCAGTCATCTGTCACTGTGTTTTAGTATTGGTGGGATGGTTTGCAGTGACGTGAGAGTTCAGTGGGCTCTGCATGCGAGTTATTTAGCAGTGTTTCCATGGTGCTGTGTTCATGCAATCTGCTTACACACACACACACACACACACACAGACACTCCCAGCCCCCAGCACACCTGTACCAGCTATTCGGGGCTCTTGATTGATTCAGGTGTGATGGGAGGGAGCAGAAATGTGTTGATCTCTGAGGACCATGTTGAGAAACGCTTTTCTAGAAATGATGAGTGGTTTGAGCTGACAGGGAGCCTTAAGTGCCTTAACCATCGGCGTTCAGCAAACCAGACAGAACCAGTTTTCTCACACAATGAGGAGTTAATGTTTCTTTTAATTGCCCCCCCAAATCTTTTTTTGCACTTCTGCTAAAATCTTCATGCTCTCATGTGTAATGCGTACATAAACCTGAGCCTCTTCTTCCAGGCACTGGTAAGCTGGGCTTCTCCTTCGTGCGGATCACCGCCCTGATGGTGTCCTGTAACCGCCTCTGGGTGGGAACCGGCAACGGCGTCATCATCTCCATCCCTCTGACGGAGGGTAAGCGCCCGTGTGCCTCCTGCCACCCCGAGTGCCCGACACCGCTGTCGATGTGGCGCTCCTGCGGGCGCTGCGCTGCGCTCGTCTCTGACCGGCGTCTGTCTCTCAAAGCAGCGCCATCTTTAATCCTATAAGGCACTGTGTCCACGTCTCATTACATCTCACTGCTCTTCTTTGGGTGTTCTTTTAACTCTTTGGCACTGGAAAGTAATTCCCACAGTACCTTGCACTGAGGTGCAGTGATACCACCTGTCCAGGGGAGGGCACTGTTGTTCTGAGTCTTGGGAAATTGGAGCTCTGGGACGGTTCCTGATCTCATGAAGTCACTCTCCTCTCCTCCTTTAATGTCACTTTTCATTCATCCTGTAGTTCTTCAGCAGGGACGTGCAGCAGGCTTAAGGGGTAAGTCCCACCTGCCAGATGAACCCTCTCGCTCACTCGCTAGCTCTCTCGCTCTCTCGCTCGTCTACGTGCTTCACGCATTACCAAGATTTGTTGTTCATTAGTTGGGGGTATTTGAGAAGGTATTTCATACAGCTGTGTTCAACATTAAGGCTTCACTCCATGGTGAATATAGACACACATGCATGATTAGTCCCACAATCTTAGTGTCGCAAAACATTTTTTAAAATAATGACGTGGGTCAGATTTGCTTACGTGGCCTATATTCTGACATCAGTGTCTGGGAATGGTCTACCTTAAGTAGGTCAGTAAAACGTATTACTTGTAATAGAGGCTCAGCTGTTCTGGTATAGGTGGATATATGACTATTTGGGTTGAGCTTGGTGAGCCAGTTATCATGTGATGGCACTTTTCCACTACTACCAATAATAATAATAATAATAATAATAATAATAATTGATACATTACTGATCCCCATGGGGACATTCTCTAAGAACTGAATTGTACGGCGAACCGGCAGTTTACCATTGTCAAGTATGCGAGCCGGACCCCGAGCCGGACCTGGCTCGTAACCATGCTGACATGGCCTTGCTTACTTGCAGGGCCAATAGCGTGACCAAACTGAGCTATTTGCATCACCACCATCTGATTAGTCGAAATGCACGGAAATATCGGTGTTCTGCACATGGATTACCTGAAGGAAAAAAGGGTATTTTCTATATATTATTCATTAGTAGTACAGCACCATGTGATGTATTAATGCATTCTCAATAACTCGGAACTTGAAAATTTCCAGCCGCCTACTTAAAGTGCTATAGAACAGCTGAATGGAATGGATTCGTAATGCAAATAACTGAATGCCAATTCTGTTAGCGTTTGATGCTAACATACAACAGCGACCTGCTAGCAGAAATTAGCACACAGTAAAGCATGATGTACACCATGTGAACAGTAAATGAGCGACTCTTCGGTTTTACATCACTGTCGCTCTCCAAACCTGCCAACAAGCCGACCCTTCTGCAGGGGAAACTGAAGCAAGCTGGGACCGCACTGTAATCATCTCGCGGTACGCCTCGGGTACGGGTCGGTTCCTGACTGCCAGTGGAAAAGTGCCATTAGTATTGCTATGCCTGATACGACTCCTTTGGATAGTTATTACTGAGGGTGTCACACACATTGGCCTATAGGCCTGTAGCCCCCACCCCCTATGTGTTTGTGGATTCACATGCTCTCCCCATGTTTGCGTGGGATCCCACTGCCCTCCGAAAACATGCAGTTAGGCGGATTGCTGTCTATAAAGCTGCCATAGTGTCCGATTGCATGCACTGCCTGCAGTAGCCTGGCATCTAAGCCAGGGTGCATCCAGGGATAGGCTCAAGGCTTCCAGTGACCCTGCACTGGGTTAGCAGTTATGCAAGATGTGTGCATGGATATTATGTTTTAAGCTATAGTAGTTTATAGTAGTTTCATTCATTTGCTTACAGGGGTTTTCCTATCAGGTATAATAAAGAAACGTGAAGTTCTTTAAATAGTAAGCAGATGCGTAATAAATGCACTGTACAAGTCTTACTCTTTATGGCTTTATATGCTTGCATATGTAAAGCTAATGCATTTTGAGTTATGTTGCACTCTTTAAATAGAATTGAACTGCAGTGCAGTGTTATAAGCTTTAAACAAATTACCGCTGAGAGTTTCTAAGATGACTGGCTGTTTAAGAAGCTGTATGATTGACTGCAGGTTTAGATAAGCGACATTAGCGACATGTGCTAATTAGCCCCACGCTAACAGGAATGCCCCCACACTTTCAGATGCACGGAAATGCCGGTCAGGTGCGGCTTCTCATTCTGCCTTCAGCCACCTCTCATCCTTCCTGGGTTTCCTTTCACTCTACCCCCTGTTCCCCTCCTTTTCAGCCTCCCTCTTCCTCACCACCTTTACTATCCCTTGATTTAGATTTCATCTGTCAGCACATCCTCCATTCCAGCAGAGGGCAGTGTTGCTTAAACATGCTTTATTAAATAAGGTCTGTTCCATGACTGACCTCACCTGGTAACCTCATCCCGTTCTCTCCTCTCATGCAGTGTCGCTTCTCATGCAGGTAGCTGCTGTCGCCTCTCTGTTTTGTTCCTCTTCTCTTAATCCGCTCTGGTTTTTTTGCACAGAAGCCGGCGTCTCCTTGCTGGGAGTGAGGAGAGGGTGTGGGGAGCTCCCAGCGAACACGCTGCCCCTGTCGCCTCACCTCACCACCTTTTAACTTTGGCTCCAAAGCACGCTTCTTTTGCACTTTGTAAACAGTGGAATATGTGTGATTTCCCTTGCTGAGAACACAAGCGCCGGTTCTGTTGCGTGTCGGCATGTATTTGCTTGGGCCAGGTCTGCTTGCAGCATTCTGGGCCATAATGACACTAAATCCTTTGCCAAAGCAAAAAGCCCTCTGGTATCTTCTGTTTACCTCCTTACTAATTCATAATTGTTTTTTTTTCCTCCTAAATGAAGTAAATAAAGTCACCACCGGAACGGCCCAGCGACCAGGCAGCGCGATCCGTGTCTATGGCGACGAGAACAGTGACAAAGTCACCCCCGGCACCTACGTACCCTTCTGCTCCATGGCGCACGCACAACTCTGTTTCCATGGACACCGGGATGCTGTGAAATTCTTTGTTGCCGTCCCAGGTGGGTCTTTAGCGTAGGTGTAGCTGGGAGACAAGACGCGTCTTTAAGCTATCAAACCGCTAACACCAACACTGAGAGCAAAGGCTGCATTAGCTTAATTCATCAGAATGATTAAGTGCTTATGTGCTTTTATGCGATCAAAACCAGTATAGGTAACATCATAATTAATTCACATGCATTCAGACATGGAGTACATCGCTGTTCATATCATAGATTTGTTGTCAAAACATCGTTTGTGATAAAGCACTTAGTGTGATCAGCACGCAGCGGTCGTGTTTACTGTAGCTCTTCGGAACGCGGCGTTACAGGTCAGGTGATCCCCTCAGCTGGCGTCGTGGGAGATACGGGCTCGGACAAAGCCGGAACTGCCTCCGCTGACAGCCAGACTCAGGAGATGCTGAAGTCGGTCCTGGTGATGAGCGGAGGGGAAGGTTACATCGACTTCAGGATGGGTGAGCGGACGACGGCGACACAAATAGTCAGCAGTAAATTTAATAGCTATATCTGTGATTTGCAGTTCGCACATGAAGGAGGTGTGAATTTAAAGTGCAGATCTCGCACGACAGTTACGCGTCCCTGACGCACTCTCTGAGATCTGCCGTGCCGTTTCATGCTAGCAGAAGTGATGATACCCCCCAAGGAATATTAACGTCACGCGTCACGGCAGGTGACGAGGGAGGGGACACGGAGGAGCTGGACGAGCCCACGCTGAAGCTGCAGCCCTTCCTGGCCAAAGCGGAGCGCAGCCACCTCATCGTGTGGCAGGTCATGTGCAGTGACGAGTGATGAGGCCCCGCCCCCATCGTGCCACAGTGTTGGGGGGGGCGAGGAGGACCGCTGGAGCCCACAGGAAACCCACACTAACACAGACTGCATGCTTTTTTTGTTCTGTTTTTTTCAGTTTGATTCTTTTTAACTAGAAAGAGATTTGGTGATTATTACGCTGACATTATACTGATACTATACTGATATTATTGATAAACTGTTTTCCATCTGTTTTTGTTCCGTTCTTTTTTTTAATTTCCTTTTTCTCTAAGGGTTTATGGTATCTCACTGTGTGTCCAGTGTCATAATGTGATCAGATAGCCAGAATGGGGGGGGCGATGGTGACACCCTATACATGCCCCCCTGCCTGGCGTGGACATCGAGCAGTTCCCGGAACCCAAAGCCACCCGCAGCGTCCAGAAGGACCGGCGCTTTCGGCCTCGAGCCGACCGACGGACGGGACCTTGTCTAAATGTCCTGAACGCCGTGATGGTGGCGAGTCCCATTCCCCCCTCAGTTTCCCCCCTTTCACAAAGTAATAATTTTTGCTTGTGAGCAGGACCGTTTATGCAGAAGTTAGTCACCTGCAGATCTGTCTGTGCTCGGCTGTAACTGTGTTTGTACCTGAAATTCCATCTCTAGGATAAATACGTTTAATCTTTAGCAGCTACAATCGTGTGGGGAAAAATGTTTGCAGTTTGGATCCCCGTAAAGATGATTAGTTCAAATAGAAAAGCCTGACTATTATTATTATTATTATTATTATTATTATTATTATTATTGTTACTTTATTTAGGTAATTATAGGCGTGCTTGGTGAAGTCCGTCCCAGTCCCCGAGCTGCTGTCCTTACGGTCTGTCCTTTCACTTTAGGTCTTCCTTCATAAAAGCTAGAGCTCACAGACACTTTAAATGTAACGCTGGCTGCCTTAGTTTCAGTACACTTTCACTTAATGTTCCGGAAGCTAATTTTTTCATTGAAATTTTTTTTTCCGATTGATGTGTGATGAGTATTTATTTTATGTCTGAGCGTTACCGATTACCAAAGGAAAACTAATTAAGACAAAAACGAAATGGTAAACCACCTCATTAATAACATGTACTTCACTGCCTTTTTGCAGTACATTTTGTCCCTACTTTGTCATTTAATTTAGAGACAGTCCTTCACTAGTCTTCATTACAATGATTATTAAATGAATATATTTTTATGTCATGTTTGCGAAACGATTAAATATTTGCTTGCCAGGGATCCGGAGCGTAGTGATCGCCGCTGCACATTGGATTTTGTACACTTGCCAGCGGACGTTCCACTTCGATTTGGTGTGATGATATCGACGCTTTCTGAAACTTTTATGCCTTTTTTAATGGTCTTTTTTTGTACATTTGTCTTTTAGACACTCTGTGTTTTATTGGCCTCTTTAACTTCAAAGCAGAGTTGCAGATGTTAATTTAGTATTTGTGCTGATGACTGTGGGGGGGGGGGGGGGGGGGGGGGGTGGTGCCTCATCTAATTTTTATTCTCCAGGAGAAAAAAAAAATCAGATTCATATCGCAGTGTAGCCATTTCAGTATTTATTTCTATGAATGAGCCTTTGAGGTTCAGAATGTAACTTTGTACATGAAATATAAATATATATAAATATGTATATGAAACATTAGTGGCTTGGTTTTATTGTTTTAATGGTGAGTGTTGAAAAGTGAAATGAGAGTGGTCACCAGTGAGAACATGGCTGACTTTTTTGGTTTTTTTTTTCTTTCGAAACACCACTACTTCTCAGCTGAGCTATGCACATTTTTAAAGATCGCAGCTGCGTGTTTTTTCGTCTCCATCTGTTCTTGGCACTTTGAGGTAGAGTGGGGCTGTGATTGGCTGAGGGAGCCTCGCCCTCAGGGGAAACCGTCCTTGCCATTGGGGGAGGTCCCTTGTCTCCTGACTCCTGTCTCCTGTTTCCTGTTGCCATGACCGCACTTCCTCCAGTAGATGTAAGCTTCTACAGCACATTAGCCTTATTTTTTAAATAATCTATTAAACTGGTTTTTTCATGGGTAACTTGTGTCTGCATCTTCTGTGTTTGGGTCTTTCCCTCCTTCACTTGGCAGATGGGAGATATATATATATAAATAAATAAAAATACTCATCTCATGGTCTCTGCAAAGCACACAAAATATAACTACATTTATTGGTATAGTCAATTTAAAAATCCAAATGCATATTAAATGCTCTCTCTGTTCCTTCTGGCTGTTTATGACACTTGATCTTAACTTTAGTCAATATATCTACGAATATCTACACATCAAGTTAATTAATCAAGTGAATGAATCAAGTTAGTGAATAGTTGTTCTTTTTCATATATACGGAATGCTTTTTACACCTATCCTGTTTAGAAGGTCTGCTGTCCTCTGCGCTGGGAATATCCAGGCTGGGAAGGCGGTAGATTGTTAGACTTACTAATGGCTAGATCTACCTGACCGTAGAGAGAGAGCTGCCGGTGGCCCAGCTGCCTTCCAGACCGGAAGGCGAACTGGAAGCACTGGATGATTTCACCACCGGACCTCTGTGCAAGGCCCTTAACCGTAGCTGCTGCAGGAATTGTCTGATCCTGCTACCTCAAATGCAAGTTGCTTTGGATAAAAGGGTTTGCTAAATAGAACGTGGTGGGTGACTCTGTAGGTTGACTGTGCCTGTGATACGAAGGTCACCAATTCAAAATCCAATGTTTGGCAGAGTGATTGCAGCCAGGAATGGTGGACCCTTCGACTTTTGGTCGAAAGTCTTAGTTTTCCGATTGAGGATCGATTATTTTGGTCTGGTGAAGGCTTTTTCCATTTTATTTTCTATTCTACCACATGGTGGCAACATTGTACCACAGCTGTAGTTCGCAGTGAATTAAGAGACAGGCTTATGCCCAGTATGCACGGCTGCCATGGTACGTTTTTTTTGCTGGTGTTTTAAATCAGCTGTATCACACCACACTTAAATTTTGCATATTTTCTTCCCTTTAATTCCTCTCCTCGTGTACACCCTAGCAGCACCTACGTTCAAACAGTTAAAAACTTACTATGGCGTTTCATGTCAGAGAATCATGATGCAGGAATCAGCTGGGTTGTGTTGATGGCATTTGAGATTTAAAATACTAATACTAATAATAATAATAATAATAATGATAATAATAATAATACAAAGCAAAGCCTCCCACGGAGACCAGCCCTGCTCTTGCTCAGCCGACGTGTGGATCAGGACTGAGGCATTATGTAACATAGCCAGCTGGTCTCTCCAGAGACTGCGGAGGGGGGTGCGACGGATCTGTCGGCATCAAAAGCAGGGCATCCTGGGATGTGGGGACACCAGCGTCTTTGCACCAGGCAGCTCCCTATTTTGCGTTTTTTACAAAGGAAACTTCTTCCCATATGATGCTGGGTTTACCTGGGGGGATAAAGCGGTGGCAAAGGAGCCGGAAAAAGTCCTTCCAGATCAAATTTTAACTCCTGGATCCAGAATAATTATTTATATTAACATATTTTAGATAGATGGCACCGTCATGGCTGACTTTATTTTGCTGATAGGCTTCTGTATGATTTGTAGATGTAGAAACAAATGAATCAATAAACTAGTTTGCACTGAATTGCACTCTTTTTTTTTTTGCAGCGATGGGGATTTGGAGATTTATCCATGCAATTTATAAGCATTTACAAAGACTGTGATTAACAACGTTTTTGTACCTTATTTGATTATCGTTACATGGCTGGCAGTCGGTCCAGAGTGTAGCCCTGCCTTGTACCCTGTGCTGTCTGGGATTAGCTCCAAGCAAACCCTACAGACAGCACCCGCCCCCCCCCCCACCGATGAGCACGCTGACAAGCGGTGGACGCAGTTTGCATTCGGCTCTTATTTGAACAGCTGGCAGTGAGAGCCCAGCGCCGGGGGGGCGAAATCTACCCCACAGCCACATACTCCGACCAGTTCCCGTCCCTGCAAGACTGCATCTCGGTGGCCTGTTTGCTTTCCTGTCAAGCAGACAGGTGCATGTTACGTGTGCACATTGAAAGGCTCTGCTATAGGCCGCTGGCACGGATGCTGAAGCTTTTTCCACAGGGGAAAACAACTGCACGCAGTGACGTGATGCAGCATCAGGGTATCAAATACTCACCATGTAGGACATCCGGAAGGGCTTTTCATAATTACATTGAGAGAGCGGACACCCAAGGTAGACTGCCCTTTAACTGTGTTAATTAAAAAAAATAAGAATGATAATGAATTGCTATTCCACATTTATTTCACTAGTTGTCCTTTCACACCTTATTTTTATACTTAAAAAGCTGTAACTTCAGTAATACTTTATTTAAATCTTTACTCTTCATCTTTAGTTTGTCTTAACAGAGATTTTTATTCATGCGTCACAAACTTACTTTCACCTTAACTCTGGAAGTTAAGGTGTAAAGGACGTGACCAGTACTTGCTATTTAGTTTGAAGTCTTTAAGAATCTTAAAACATCAATAACATATAATATATCAATAATATATAATAATATATCAATAATAAATATCAAAACATAACATTTTATTTTGATTAAATTTTTACTGTTACTATTATTACTAGTAGTAATTTTACTAGGTCTAAACAAATAAAACAGTGGTAAACATACAATTAATCATTTACAGTTATTAATCGATTAATGTTAATTGAACATGTTTTTAGATGCTGATTCTTTATTATTGCTTGGTTTGCTTTTTGGTCACTCGTCCCATTTCTCTTCATTCCCAGCTTTGAAGTATAAGGCAGCAAAAGGGTCTGTTCTTGATGTCTGTCCCCTCGACGACGGGAAATTGCCACTGCAGGTGACACCGTGTTGCTCTACCTTTGACTGCTGGTACAATTAGGACTCTGCCTTATTATGAAAAATACAGCCTTTATTTTTAGCTGCTCTTTCTAGCAACACATTTCTTTTCAGATGCCACTAAAACCCGCAGACTGTCTCAGTACGACAACATTTGGAGAAGAGCAGACCGTTCTGAACACAAGCTTATAATCGGCTGGAGTCCGTGGGCTGGCCTGGTGCTGCAGTGGATTAAATCGCATCCTGGCACCTTTGGGGTTGGGGGTTCAGTTCCTGGCCCTGTGTCTGCGGACTTATTGTATGTTATATGTTCTCCCACGGTCCAGTAACATTCAGTTGGTTGAATTTTTTTTTTGTCTCAAAAAATGCTTATATTTCATGCCTTACCATGACATCCCATAGAGGGGCTCCCCTGTCAGACTGGCTGGGATGGACTCCAGGCTGTTTGTGTCCCTGTAATGAATAAACGGCTATGAAGATAAAGGCATGGATGAATTTGCCATCTGTGGTCAGCCCCGCATGACACATCCTCTTATCCACTGGCGAACCTTACCTTCTCGCATCCATGTCAGAATGGAGTTTACTCATGTATCGTGGGTCGTGTATAACAGAGCATGTGGCTTTGACAGGTTTGTGGCTCGTTTTCCTCAGCCTTGACATTATTAAGAGGGCCTCATTGTGACCTATGGTGAGGTGTTGCAGTCAGGGTCATTTTCAGCTGCTTCATTGTCCAATCCTAGGGCGGCGGGGGGGGGGGGGGTGATGCTATCAAACCCACTTCCCCGCTCTCCCCGCTGAACGGGACCTGCATTATTATTGATTTATCTTTAAGTGCAGTTCCTGATTTAGGAACTCGAGTTCTGTACATGACATTATAATAGCATAGTGGTGATCGTTTAATGTAAACATCGCCCCCTACCAGTGCTATGCTGCATCTGCAGATGTAGCAGGTGTGGCCCAACCACATCTGTCACAGAAAATATCACTCACCGATTGCTGGGTGTGATCTTTTACTACAGCGACAAAAAAGTCACCCTTTGTAGCCAAATTTGTTAAAAAGTTTTATCTGGATAGCGTGAGGAAAAAAAAAAAGATTTCATTGTTTAGCCTACTTTTATGTGGCATACAGAAGAGTGATTTGTGATTCGCCGGAAGAAGGGAGTATGAGTACTTTGCTTACAGCTTCACAGTCCATTAGAGCTTTAAGCGTAAATATTGGTCTTGTCAGAGGGGAACCGCACACAATGAAGAAAACCTGTCGTTGAATCTATTGTGGGATGTGAGAATGTTCTGCACAGAGGGGACAGCAAAAGCCCAGGACTCGGCCCAAACTCAGATTAGTCACATAACAATCTGAGAATAACTCAGGATGATACAGCAGGTCCTCCAGTCCTGTTCTGCAGTAAGACACGCAGAAGCGCTCAGTATTATAAATTCATATGCTATTGCCTCACATAATAGCACCTTATATAACAAATTCAGCTTTACACATTTTTTAAATGAAGGGTCTTGCCTGCTTGCATAGTAGCCCCTGTGATTTAAATATGAAAACCCAGCTACATTTTAAAGGAAAACCAAGTATTCCTGTGACTGCGTCTGTGTTTCCCTGTGATTCCTGTCCAGGGTAACCCCTTACCTTGTACCCTGCCTTGTGTCCTGGGATCGGCTCCAAGTTCACTGCAACCTGTTAATGGATAAGCAGTTATAGAAGATGGATGGGTGCCGAGGTTTATACAGGCTGTCGATTTCAATCATTCTGTGCAGTTTTTGAATGCAAGTTTCACACTTAACTGACCTGAGTCACTTATCAAATTAATACTGAGGCAAAGGTATATATATATATATATATATCGTCTACCTCTTCAAATTATAAAGTCCTGCATACATTATTATCATTAAAAAAATCATGCATCATATTTTAAGGTGAATTAATTCAAAATGAGAAGTTTTAATAAACACCAGCTCACGAGGGATTTGGAAACCCCTGCCCTCCACTGTTTATGAACATTTATGTAAAAGCAGAATGAAAAACAAATCCAGATTTTGCTCCTGGCTGCTACAGAGGCTGCTTACGTCATTGGTCGGCTCGGCCGCCCAGAAGAGGACTGACGGAGTGAGGAGGCTCCTGGTTCGGCCTTGAGAGCATCTAGAGGGAGCGTCACGTTCAGGATTAGGTTAACACAGCCTCACTGTGATCCATTCCAATTTGAAGTC